TTTCCAAGACAATGAAGCCGTCGCCGATGCAAGAGATGCGATTGTTCGAGAACAGTGGGTTCAGAGAATGATGAGGAGGTTGGTGGGAGAGGAAATGGGTATGTTTTGGCCCTCTTTTCCATACTATCGCTTGGAGGGGCTCAGATAGGGAGGTGGGCACGGATTGTGCCTGTCCGGTGCTGATGGTGCCGTGGAATCTCCTCGAACGAGGGACATGAACATGCGGGAAATATTCCAGTGCTCAGCATGGTCTTGGTAACCTCTTCTAATACTATACCTTCATAGGCAAGTGCTACGCGCGCGAAGGAGTCAACCATCTTGAGAAATGTGGAAAATACAGAGGTAAAACTATTCCCCCCTAGCTGCTGCTAATTGGATTCCTCCCTGATACCTCGAGGGTTGTTACATCGCATCTAACTGTCCCCGAACTTCAAATTCAAAGACCGCTACCTCCAGCTCCTCAAATCCACTCGCGAAGCCGGTTTCCGCGGGCAGCAACAGAATTACATCCCCGGTGTGGACGGTCCCGCAGGCGGTCCAGAGATTCATACAAACTACCCGAGTGCGCAAGAGGCGAAGGGGTCCAGAGGATCAGATCTCAGACCGGGCAACACGACGGGAAAGGGTGGCAATACACTGTACTAGAGTGAAACGAAGAGTGGGCACGCGTTGGAGGAGAGAAGACAGCTGTAGAGCATCTCACAAACAATTTCTTGCCATGGGAGGAAATATGTACATACAACATGGCGTGATCTGTTGGTGGCAGGCAAGTTCTTTCGATAATAAGAGGATTGAGAAATCATTCCTGTTCTGCTCTCGACGGCGGCACATGCGTGGCTGAAGAAGCCATTGAGCTCCTAACCCTCCTGCTACAGTGCAAGTGTAAAGGGTGGTACAAATGTCAAGGGCATTTGACCAATTCGTCACCTTCCTTTTATGATTTGTTGAAGACATAACTCCCTGGTTTCAACCGAACACAGCATTGTCGGTATGGATAGTTAGCATCGAGATAATGGGTCTAGGACCTACTACTTCTTGACGTGGTTCGCCCGAAACAATTTGCCGTATAGAAGAAGGGGAGTTGGAAGAGGTCAGCTGTTACATTATTTCAGACAGCTCTCAACATTGTCCTAAAACAGTGCTTCCTCACTTAGAACAGAAAGCCAGGATCCATTGGATTATTTGCCATCTTCGTTCAAACCGGATCTCCCTGCTTTCACAGGACTTAGTTGCTTTCACAGCTTGCTCCTCTTACCCGCCTTTTCTGCTGCAAAAGTTGCCAACGCGTCCATCAGCGGCGGACTCAACACATCATATGGCTCCAATCCGAGCTCGCGCAGTCGCTTCCGTACCTCATCCATCTTCTCTGGTGGATAGCCCTGCTCAATCAAGCTCGACACAAACGCCGCAAACTGTGGCTCCTGCCAGCCCTTTTCATCGCTCAAATCGACGTGGACGAAACTCAATCCTTTGAACGCATGGTCTTTTTCGACCGGCCCGTACATATGAACGCCACAATCGTGGCATGCCGTCCGCAAAATAGTCGCGTCCTTATCCAGCACGGCGAGTTTGTGTCCGTTCTTGGTGACACGGACATTCTCCTTTGGGATGACTGCCACGACAGAGAAGAGAGCGCCCTCGGGCTTCCAGCACTGGGAACAGCCGCAGACGTGATTATGCAGGACGTTACCCTTGAGCTCGACTTCGACCGGATCGGAACGGCAGTGGCAGCGCAGAGTGCCGCCGGGGAACTTGTCGTTGCCCTTGACGAGGCCGTGGTCGATGAGGGGATGTAGGGACGGTGCCATGGTGCTCATATCCATCTCAATTCTGGTGGGATAAAATGCAGCTGGTGACAGGAGGCAATATGTAGCTAGGGGGAACACGACTGCAGCAAGATCCTAAGGCGTTCTCGAGCAGCTTTAAATCATCAGCAAAGCATCGGGAAGACGCTGCGCACACTCCCACAAATAAGCCCCAGACCCTTGCTTCACCAAACCCGATGGTGCCGTCTTATGCTGGCATGATATGAGGGGTAAATGAATGAATGCATGCAGCTCCTTCAGGCACCTCGCTCATCTGAGCCGTTTTGAGGAAAACGATGCCCCTCAACTTCCATATCCTGAAATCCGCATGTCCGATGCAAGGTAGGAATACCCCAGAGACTCTACGGCCCTTGCAACGTAACCTCAAAAACTGAAGCGTGCTCGCACACTCGGTCGGCAGTTGCGGGGGATACACGGAAATAGCATTCACATTCGGGAGATATCGCGTCAGACTCTACAAGCGAGGTGGAGAGTAGGTTGAGTGAAGGAGTCCAGTTTCTCTGTCGACAGGCCCGCATTTGATCGTTTCTTGTCAAGAAAAGGATCTGCTCGCTGGCAAACAAGGCCAGGAAACTTCCGGCCAATCGTCCAAGAGACAGAAGAGGGGTAGAGAAAGATATGAAATTGCACTGCGAAAACCATTGATTCTCGGTAGAAGAGAGTCCGGCGAAGTGTAAGAAACTTACATCTGGCACCTCACCACTCGCCATGCATCCATGTACCAAGCCTTGCCAACACACTTGTGGAGCCAACAGCCTCTTCATCAACAGTTACAATCTACACAGCCTTGCCGACACTGGCTCAACCCCAAAACCCAAGTGATATGAATACTCTGTAGCCAAAAGGGAAGTTGACAAATATGCCTTTTCCTTTTGTGCTTTCCACAACCTCCCTCGTCTCCTTTCAAGCCAGCCTTATCTCTTCCACCCACCCATCCCTTCCATCTGCGGCCACATCTCAACGCGCGGTGCTCCGGGCGGCATTGAAGGCTCACAAGCGGCTGCCGCCAGCAGACCAGGCCACCAATCTATTGTCCCTGGCTTCCACGGCCCAAAGCTATCTACGCTACCTCGTCACGCTGGACGTGGCTCTGTCTGGCAAACCTGTGGCTGGCGAGGATATTGATATTGCACTTGCGAAGGAGCCTGAATTCGAATGGCGGCCAACCCTAGGCTCCACCGCCATCCCAGGTCGGGAGAACGAGCGCGCCAAGGGCAAGGGACTTGACTACGAGCTCTTCTTTGTGCATCATACGCTAGCGCTCATTCAGAATCTTCTGGCCAGACAGTCTCTCCTTGGGTTATACGCTTCAGTCAACCCAACACCAGAGCAACGGTTAGCACTAATTCAAAATGCCTCGAAGTGCCTTACCACAGCCCATGCGATTCATTCCTACCTTCTACTGAGGGCAAACTCTTCCAGTGACGGACCTCCAACCTTCCCACCCGCTGCGATTGACGTGTCGACGAATGTACAGTCGGCTTTGCGGCACTTGAACCATGCAGAATCCAATTTGCTCTGTGTACTAAAGGAAGACCCGTACCCTGCAATACTCGTTCAGTCACGGAACAAGGACGACAAAGAGTGGATGATCAGAGCTCCTCAGATCGAGAAGGTTCGGGGCCAAGTCTTGACTAGACTCTGCATCGGAGCAGCGCAGCATGCTTCTGCTGCTACTGTGGCACTCAAGCTCGAGGCCACAAAGGCGTCGAAAGAGCTGCTGGAATACTGTGATGGCATCCAAAGAACGTCACGAGCAAAAGCTTGCAGATTCCAGGCCCTAGAGGAGGACACCCATGCAGGCCAAATAGGCAAAGCAATCGCGTGGCTGAGGGCAGCCATGAATGAGCTAGGGTTTGAGGTAGGGAAAGATGGCTCAAAGTCTTCGGGTTTCGGCAAGCTAAAGGCGTCTTGGATTGAACGGAGAGAAGATAAACGGATCGAAAAGGGTAGCCCAACGTGGGGATTAGACGGGGGCAAGCTTGAGGAAGGCCGGATCGTTGAATATCTGGATCAAAAGTTCAACAAACAGAACGACACGATCAACGTTCAGCTGATACCAGAGTGGAGACCATTGCTGGCAATGTTGCCCAGTGGGATGAACATGGGAATGGGCGAAAAATGGAAGCCAGAAGCATTGGAGGAGGATGAATTGGCCGCGATGAGAGCTCCGCCTGAAGTCGACGAACTGGTCGCCGCAAATAGCTCTGATGAGGGCGAGGAGAGCATGGCGGTGCCAGCAGGAGCTTTCCCTGATACGCCGCGGGATTATGGCAGCAGGACGACTTATTATTAAAGACCCAAGAGGCCGTCCAAAGAGGAAAGCTGGATGAGTCAGAGCCGAAGCATCAACGCCGTATATCCAACACAGAGTACTGTTTCGGAATTCTGTAGACATGTTAGCTTCAATCTTGGATGTCCACGAGACTAGCGCAGTTGTGGAATGATGTCCAGGTATTATTGACATACGAGTATGCTGTACGCCGTGTGTGGTCACCTTGGTCGGGCTGACTAGTTGGTTGAGCGAGTTGGGCTCAGCCTTGCCCCTGAGCGATAGATGTTCACCACGCTACCCCTTTCGCGTTTCAACATTGTTTCAACCTTTTTTCCTCACCACCAATCATCCACTCAGACAAGTGATTCACAGCAACCCTCCCACTTCCCACCAGAGCTGGGTGTGGTCGAGGAGAATTATTCCCCGGTGGCCTGCTCAACAACCACTCAAACGTGCTGAGCCCACGACAATCCCGGCACCGCAGGCGACGATCTTGCAAAGGACCTCGCGTGTACCGGAGCCTCTGGTTGGATATGAGCGCTCTGGTGTAAGGCTCGTTGGTTGCGCCTGCACAACGGTTCGGAAGATGGCGTGACGAGGTCGCGACCACTGGTCCTCGTCTTTACGCGCTGTTCGATGTGGTGCTGACGGTGCAGGTGGCTTCGTCTGTGATCGGCTGTGGTGAGTGACAGGTTCCCTTTCTTTCTACTTGAAGAGCTCCGCGAGATGCAAGATCAGGAGATGCATTCATTTCTTCTGGCAGTCGCACATATCAAAGGACCGTCGGTGCGTTCTAGGAACTCTTGACGGCTTTGGCTCTCGAAGCACATTCCTCTGCGATCTGTACTGGATTCTGTGAACGAAGAACAAAGATGACACCACTATGTCTCTTCGGCATCATGACCGCGACGCTCCTCTACATAAAATCAACCTTGGCATTGCCAATGCCAGAGCCGATGCTGCCAAAAATCACTATCCGGCATGACTCGCCATCACAATCACCAACTGAGACTGGCTTGGCAGTCGAGGAATATTTCATGCCGAGCCCAGGAACGCATGGCAAACGACAGCAATATTCGCTATCAGAATCCATCAAGATAGCCCCAACCCCAGGACCCACGATACGAGTGCTAGATCGACACACACAACTCCTGCATCTCCACCAAAGGGAAAAAGAGCGCGCTCTCAGAGCGAGATTTTACCCTTTCGATGCGGGCAATAGCACGAGCGCCAGCAAGCCCCCAATAACACCATCCCCTCTTGCATCAGTTGCGTTATCGAGTTCGACCGACGGCCTCAACATCAGTTCTCCAAGCTCACAGATATCGTTGCCCAATCCTTCGAACAGCGTGCAGCCTTTCACAATCACCGGGTCTGCGACCACGCTGGGGCTGTCGAGCGCAGCATCCGCCCCAGACATTGTCACAGACACGTCACCGCCTTTGCTACCAATAGACTTGACCCTACCAGCTGCGTGGATACAGACTCTTCCTCCCACAACGGCACTATCTACACCAGTTCCCCTTGTTCCTGAACCTCAGCCGAATCTGGCAACACAGTCGTGGGTTTCCGGGACGGCAGCACCAACACCTACGACGAGTCAGAAGGTAGGAATCTCAGTCCCAAGCGAAGGGGGCAACACAGATTGCCCGTTCCAACCCGGCGTATCAACAAGCCCAGATGCAGAAACGACGCCCGATCAGACCTTCCCAGTTATCGTGACAGTTTTGCCTGTCTCGACGAGTTTCTCTGCTGGGGCGTGAAAGAGTCGACCGTGGTGTCGACATCTTGTACCGTGTTTTATGATGTCAGCAAACCCAACGGTGGCGTCCGAGTAATAATGCACTGGGAATGCGGGCAGAGTTCATGTAGTTTACTCGCCTGGAGTGTTGTACCAAGCAGGACCAGTTGCTAGACCTCCCTCCTCTCTTTTGGTTGGTTTGTTGGGTTTGAGGGGGGTTTTAGCTAGAGGTCGACCGTTGTCGGCCTTTGGGATTTAGCATCACCGCGCCAGAGCTTGATGTGGCTCGGGGTTTCAGCAAGCTCCAATGGACGAAATCTGCATTTAGGGTAGAATCACTGCGAAGGAACAGACATTCCTGCAAGACAAGAGCCAAGGGCTTTGCGCCGCGATGCGCAGAATTGAGTTAAAACTCTTAGAATAGCTGTACAGGTTGGGGATTGCTCGGCGCAGTCACCAGGACCGAATGCTTTCGAAAGCGTGGATCATGAATTGATTGATTCTAAGATGCTGTCTGAGAAGCTGCGGAGCTATCTAGCCATTTGCCACTGCCAAGCCGGCACGTGCATTCCGTGACAACTGCATACAGAAAATATATCCAGCCTAACCCACTTTGCCCACTCTTTCCTCGCAAGTAAAGGCACTGGTACCCTCTCAGCGGACCTTCTTCTACAGTTTTAACTTTTGATGATGAGGTGTTTATGACAGTGATGGTATGATCAATTTACAGGCCATTCCCTTAGAGCAATGGAGGCGCCCAAAGTCCGAGCTGGGTACATAGATACATAAACACGTGAGGGTCTATGATAGTCGCATCGAGGAGAGACTCTTCTTTGTGCACAGAGGAAGAGAAGAGGACCTGCTAACAATGTTGCGCCGTATCGGACGATCGGCAGTGTCCACAGGATTTGTTGCATCGCCGTCCTTCTTTCATACACTTCGACCCTACAAAACCTCCCCCACGATCTTCGCGGCCTCCTTATACGTCGCCAACAACTTTTCACACTTCTCCCTCTCCTTTTTGATCCCGTCGTCCTCGTACAACAACTCACCAAATAACTCCTCCTTGTATAGCTCGCTGACCAGACGATTCTGCACTTCATCCCTCGAATGGTTCACAAGTAAGTGCATGATGGCTTTCGGCACTTGGTCAGCGATGGTCTCGCGTACGATGTTGAAATAGCTTGAGATTAGACGACGGATCAGCTCGGTTTCCAGAGCTTCGCGCTCAGTCAGAATAGGCTCTGCATTTTGCTCGGGCTGGAAAATGTGCATGTTAGCAAATGATACAAGAAATCGTGGGCATAATTCACATACGAATAGCAAGCTAGAGTCGCCGTACTCCGAACCCGGCGCATAATCGTCATGCAGCGTCGGTGGATACACAGGCGATCGATCCGTGAAGCTTCCACGATCCATCCGCCGCCTGCTCTGCGAGAAGCTCGGTTCGACACTGTGACTGACATGTCTTTGAGCCACCGAGGCCGAGGACGGAACAACGGCTGGGCTGCCTTGTAGTGACGCCCCTGGTAACCCGCCTTCCTTTCCAAAGAAGTAATTCAGGAACGAATCTCTCGCTGCGCCTGCTGAGCCCGCAGCAGCCGAAATGCTGCCGAGGCCATTTTCGCGCTCACGAGCTACAGTCGGTGACATGCTGCGACTCAGCGTCGGGTGTTTCCTATTTGGTAACGAAGTAGGCTTGTCTTCCTGTTCGGCATCTTCTTCATCTGGGGTGGCGGCGCCGTTAACTCCTAATTGCTTCATGCGCTGCTTCTCTCGTTTTCGTCTCTCCTCGGCTTGCGCAGCTTTCTTGTCTTTCTCGTTCTTGCTTGCAATGACAGAAGACATTGCCGCGGCCGCTCCAAGGAAGTTCGGATGGTTCGTGTTGATGTATGCGCGTTGGATTGCAATAAGTGACTCGACATAATTTGAACAAGGACCAAGCCGCTCTCGCAGCAGATCCGAAACCACCTCGATGAGCTTGGCTTGTAACCTGGGAAATCTGGACAGCTCCGTAGATCCGCATGTATGGCATATCTTGATCAGCTCTTCATAGACCAATTCTACACACCGCTGACTGGGGATTTCCAGCAACTTAATTTGTGGTTTCACCAGTAGATCAAAGGCGAGTTCAGGAACGAAAAGACTCGGTCGCGGCCCAGTGGAGTTGCGGATAGCGGTTCGGATGTCGAGAACAGATAGGTTGTGTGTAGGATCAATGGTTTCTAGAGAGTTGCCGAACACAGAATTGAAGATATAGTATATTCTGGCACCACCACAGAGCTCTTTTGTTGATATTTCTGAAGACGTGCCATCAATGGAGGAGATGAATGATGTCGCGAAGCGAGTCATGAGTTGAAGGATCAGCGATCCGCGGTGTTCCTTGCCGCTGAACTGCTTGCTTCCATAAGAAGCCAGCTCTTGCTGTGTCTGGCCCATCAAAGTGTTCAACCGCGCCTTGATGTCGGGTAACCGATCCCGGATGTGGCCCATGAGAGTTGTGTTCAGGGTTTTTGCAAGGTATTGCGTTCCGCACCTTGTTGCCATATTCCGATAGGCGGGATGATGCCTGAAAAATTCCGCCTCCGACCTGAGAGCGTCAGACATGGGTTTATTAGTTTGGATATCCTGTTGGGATCGGTTGACCACGCCAATGAATCCAAGCTTCAGCGGGTACACGCGACCTGACAGGATATCCAACGCGTTCGTGCCATGATCCATCAAATCCAATTTTGTCAGGACACCAATGGTCCTTCTTCCCATGGGGTCAACATGCCGAGCGAGCTTTAGGGCTTCTGAGTTGACAATGTCAACGTTTGCAGGAGAGACGGCGAGGATGATGCTGTTTGGTTTGGCAATGTATTCAGAGATGAGTGTTCTCGTTTGCTTCTCAATGTCTGACGGTTGATCGCCAATAGGGACCTTGGTCAATCCGGGCAGATCGACCAAGGTGAGGTTGAGGACGTGCGGAGAAAAGATCTTGAGGTTAATGGGCTGCCTGTTGATGCCCTTGTTGTTCCCTGCTATTCTTGCCGTTTCATTTTCGATCTCGGCTCGAACCTGATTGAAATCCACGAACTTGCGACCTGGGATATGGTGAAACTCTGCCCACTCTCCGTGTTCTGCCACGCTGGCCGCCGTATGGGGGATGTGCACATCGCCATTGCCATTGGTATTTGAGTCATCATCATCCGGAGGGATGTTGATGAGTTGCAATATCAGGGGTCGACGAGTAACAATGCCACTTCCACGGGGAAGAAAGTCCCGGCCAACAATGTTTTCAAGCACAGAGGATTTCCCCGACGACTGGGAGCCGACAACGACTATCTGGGGGAGATCGAGGGAGTCATTGCCTATGGTGTTGAAGACAAGGTCTTGGAGCTTGTTGACAGTGCGCAGGAGGTCATCACCGAGGGTGGTCATTGTTGATGACCGTGGTCGCAACCAGCTAGGAGAAGTGTTTCAGAGGCGAAAAGCGACCGCAAAGAAAATAGATGGTTGACCTGGTAGATGGCCACACAACAACAGGGTTTTACAGAGAAGCCAGCGAGGTAAAGGAAGTAGAGAATGCCGAACACGACAGGATTGTGGCGAGGCTGTTGGTCAGATGGCCAGCCACAGGCACATGTTTACTGCTGCGTATCGTATCTTCGAGAGGATGCAAGTTTGCAGATGCTGATGCTTGCGAGGAACGCGGCGAGGCGAGGCGAGGCGATGCGGGTCGCAGGTCGCAGGTCGCAGGCGCAGGCAGGTTTCGCGGAGGGCGAGAAAAATAAATGGAATGACGAGCATATGCTCAGTGGATGTCACCAACGCGGCCATCAGTGGGTACAATGGCCCGAGATTCCCATGTCAGACAGAATGATTAAATCATTGGTGCTATGGCGCCTCTCCTCTGACGTCGTCCCTTTCTTAGTCCCTCTCCATGCAAGCTACTCACTGGCTGCACACCTGCATGGTACTAGGTATGAACCAAGTCAAAGCAACACAACAGACCCTGAGGCGGGGTCAATATTACGACATGCACAATGAGAACAGGCTCATTTTCCATGGGTGAGCGTGGCAGGTCTCGGAACTGACTCCCATATCTTTGAGTTCCTGGTATCTAAAGAACTTGAATCCCATCACCATCACTGCAGCCATGCGTCTCGCACCTAGCTTTGCCCTTGCCATCACTGGCCTGCTGTTGGCAACCCAAGGATCAAGTCACCCGGTCGACAACACCATGCGAATTTCCTTCACCAATGGGCAGCTTCAGAAGCCTTTCCCCGATGCCCCCTATGCCTTTTCGACCATCAGAGATGTCCTACTAGATCACAGCATCATCGGCGACGTCCTTGACGACTTTGAACCGTCCTACTACCTCGACATCACCTACCCAAAATCTCACGAGACGGTCCTCTTGGGCGATGACATCCCTGTTGAATCCGTGTCCAAACGACCCATCTTCACTTTTCACTCAATAAATTCTCTGGTCGGTACGGAAGATGCGAAGAAGTCTACCTTCACCCTAGTCTTGACCGACCCTGACGCAAAATCTCGCAACAACCCAAAGTGGTCTGAAATGTGTCACTGGATCCTCACCAACCTGACCACGCCCATCCCGGAGCCTTCATCAATTTTGCACCTTGTGAAAGCCAAACCTGGAGAGCTCGAGGAGTATCTTCCACCAGCTCCACCCCCGAAAACGGGTGCTCATCGATATGTTTTCGTCTTGTTAGAAGGCACCGCCTCAAACCTGGAACCGCCCGCCGATAGGAAGCACTGGGGCTATGGCAAGCCCAGACATGGTGTGCGGGACTGGGCGCAGGACAATCATTTGACGGTTGTGGGTGCGAACTTCTTCTATGCTCAAAATGAGAAGCAGTAGGCCGATATCATCAATGAGGCAATTCCTTTTTCGGCGACCAAACAACCTCTTTCATATCCGACCTTCCTGAAGAAGCTGTATCTCTGCTAACCCTCTCCACACTTCATCCACCGCTTCTGTTCCCTGCTTCAAATGCTTTTCAATCGCCCCTGAGGAAGCCACCTCAGCTGCCTCGGCTGCAAATATCCACGAATCAAGGCGTTTTGATACCTTATCGTCCATCCCCGCTGTCGCTTCCTGTTGTTGCTTGTTCCCGAAAGTAGATGCGGTGTGCATAAAGCGTCCGGAGCGAACGAGGATTGGAAAAGCTTGCAGGAGCTGGCTCTCATCGCTGAGCCGCTCAAGCATGTTGATTGTAGTTGCAGATTCTTTCTGCAACTGCTTATCCACAAACACGAGGTGGGAGGACGACATTCTTTGTTGCTGCATGGATGGGAGCAAACGTTTTTCAATCATATTTGTGAGATTGGTTCCTTGGGTTGTGAACGCTGCCTCCATTGCCTCGTTGCCTCCTTCGATATCTCTTGACTCTTTCTCAGGCAAAGGAGCTCTTAAGTTCGCCACAGTAGAGAGCAGCTTTTTCCGTGCATCAATATACCGCTCATATTGAGTGCTAACCCGCTTGTCCAAGTCCTCTTCGGTTTCTAGCGAGTCATCCGCACCCTCATCGTTCAGCACATCAGTACCGTCTTGACACCTGTCCAGGACCTCCTGTAGCCATGTAGTCAATTCCTTTCTCGCCGCTGACATGGCGATAAGATATCGCTCAGCTGTAATGTTTCCGAACTCTTGATTGCCCGATATAGCCCGATCTAACAGCGTCTCCTGTTGCATCGCCTCATGTTTAGCTTGTACCACGGCCATTTCGAGAGCTTGAATGGATCGTATGATCGACTTCGCGAGGGTTCCTTGCCCATTCGTGGAGGAGAAAGTTGCAGCCTCTGATTCAGTAGCAGTGGACCCCAACTGGACCAAGGCCGGACCAGAGGAGATTTTGATAGTATTCACTTCATCATTCATTGCCATCAATTGCGCATTTCGCTCTTTCAAACGCAAGAATTCAAGGTGATGATCGAGTAAAGTCGCCTTATCCGATGCTGGCCGCGCCGATTGATCCGTGCTACGGGTCTGCGAAGCAGAACTTGCAGCCTCTTCGTATCTGCGCTTTGCTGCGACGTTTGCCCGAACTGCCTGGAGATATTCGTCTCTTAAATCATCACCCAGTTGCGGTGGTTTCCGCACGCCGCTTGCGGCATCGTCATGGAATTGGTGTTTGCGACTCTCTTCTACCTCATGCGCAGGGTAAATATAGGTGTCGAACGTCGTCGAGAGTTTCTGGAGAAGCGTGGCAGCGTCCAAATCTATTTCCATCATGATCAAGCAATAACTTAGATTGTGTTGTATTTGACTGCTGAGGGCCTTTGTCATTTGTCCGGGACCACTTGGTTCTCTCTAGCAGACTGGAAAACCCGTTGGGGACCGTGGATGGACTTCTCTGCACTCAGGAGTTCAAGATCGAAATTGAACCGCAACTTCCAGCTTCACCGGTTAGCTATCGATAAGCATTCATTTCGATCCAAAGTCGAGATTTCCAGAGCTAGTGTCATGCGACAACTACTGATAATATGATCTTTGTAGGGGGGAAATATCCAAAACAAGTGAGTTCAGATCTACTGGTAGAAAGCTGTGTGGACACTTGATCTGAATAACGCATACACCTGGCCAATCCAGGCACAAACTTGTCCTACTATTAAAAGGCGTACGTACGTAGTGAGATTTCCGACAATTACAAGGGAGACGATATATATACAGGCATGAGGATGTCCACATTTAGAGAGCCTGTTGTGGGCTGTGAAAAGTAACAATCATGACCAGACCTCGGAGTATGTGGAGTTCGAGATGATGCTCTCTCGCTCTGCAGATGGGGAGGATCAGGCATAAAATAATTTCCCCCCTGAATGCTTGCTCCTACAACCCCCAGCACGAGACTGAGCATCACAGATTCCTTCGCACTGAATTTTTTTGGGGGGGTTTTGTCATGCACCATTACCTCTCCCTGCCTCTTTTGTTGGGGTTGACTCGCTATGTTCAGGTTCTAAGATCGCAGCCCCCTGGATATGTTGTATTCCCTGGCTGCTCCGCACCTGTCATCTTGCAACTGAGAGGTTTACCAATTGATCATCGCTCGAGGCGTTCTTCATGAGCACACTGCTGTTTGGCTTGATCGAGCAGCATTTATCTTGACGAGCGGTTCCCAAGGACCAAGCGATTTGCTTCGCGATCATTCTGTCTGTGAAGCCGGCTGTAGGTGCTGGGATAGCTTTCCTTCTTCCATTGCCTACTTTTCAAACTCGGGTTTCAGGGAATATTGATAATCTGGGCGGCGGGCGCGCTGGCTACCTCCACACCTGCGTCTTTTCTGCTCCGGTAACACGGAGTCAAGTGGAGACGCAAGAAAGACGAGGGCGCTGTCAACCGGCTCCCTCCTCACCACGTTCTCGTCTTCCGAGTGGGAAATGCCATTTTCAGCGCCAATTATGGTTTGCCACAAACATTCTTATGGTCGTTTGTGGCGAGCATCTTTCACCCCCCAAGTCCAAGATCGGTTTGTTAATGGCCGCACTGAATGTTCGCAGTCAGGCTCCTGGTTCGGACTTATGAGTAATGGAAATATTCTGTAGTACAGATGTTGATGACCAACATTAACTGTCTCCTTGCGGTTGGTTATGGGATCCTCTAACCCTAATTTGTTGTTCCGGGGGAGGTATCCCCATAATCCGGAGTGGTCATGGATCCTGGGCGGGTAGGTTTCCTGCAGTTTAAGGTGGATTTGTGAGGTCAGTTGGGAGACGGCAGGAATCTTATAACGATGCTGTCCACACCGCTTAATTCTTTGGTATTTGGAGCCCAGGAAGCGGACTTGGATATGGCTGGGGAGGATTCATTGCAGTTCACCCAATCAAGCACGGCTCCCTCGGTTCCGGTGAATTGGTGTATGGCACAAAGTGCGGCCGTGTTATCCTCGCCAACGGGGCTGCGGCTGCATTCGGGTGACAGAGGATCCATTTTGAAGACGGCAAGGATGCTATGATATATGGTGTGTTGGGGTTAGCCGATTGAAGGCGATAGAAATCCTAATCAGGTTGAGATGTTAACCTTTTGCGGAGTCGTCAAACCAAAACCAGTCCTCACGCGTCTTTGGTTGTGCTATGCAGCATTCAGACATTCGTTCAGCCGCGGTGATCGCTCAATCATTGTTTCCTGTGTGCTTCTTTGCTTCCGTCAGCCGTCGCATGAGTTCACGACAATCTTCGCCTTCTTTCCCCTCAATTTCGATCGCCCTCTCTAGCCATTCAACGGCATCCTGCCAGCGTCCCATCTCCATCAGACATCTTCCTCCGACAATGTATGATTTCGCGTTACCGGGGACCTTTTCTCCATTGGGACCGGTACCAGGGCCTCGTTTGCACTCAATACTGCACTCGGCATCTTTCAGACCTTCGACCCAGTTCTGGAGGTCGGCATTAGCAGCAGCTCGAGAGAGATACATCAAAGCAAGCTCTTCTCTAGCCAGTCCCATCGGCTCCCAGCCTGGTCGCACCGCGGCCATATCTATCCCAACTCCGAGGAGGCGGATCGCATCTGCATGTTGACCTTTGCGTGAGGATGCCACAGCTGACTCTCGCAATTTGTGGATCTGGCCTGATCGTTTGGGATTCACCGGTAGAGGAGGCGGTGGGATATTGTTCGGGGTCTCGAGCGACTTAAAAGACGTGTGTAACTTGTTGATATTGGAGATGGCGTCTTGCAGCGCCCTATCTGAGGAGAGGGCGGAGATCTGTTTCGTCTGGGGGTCGATGTGGAGTGGAAGGTGCGTATATGTCTCTAGAGCGTCGTCGGTCGAAGCCATGGCTGTTCTACAGCGGCAAGAAGCACGAACAAGGGTTTGAAGTGAAAGTCTGCGATCAAGGGATAAGCAAGATAAGGAGCGACAGTATTAAAGTCGAAAGGTTAGCAGAGACTCAACAAGTCAATGTGTCCTTCGTGCGGAGAGTCTTGGCAAGGAAAGCTGAGTCAATGAGGACTGAGCTCTAGGTCCCGAGTAAAGGCCCTTGATGCCCCTAGGATGCGCTGAGTTCACGTGCCAAGTGACTCTGGCTGTGCTTGTGCTTGGCAGTTCCCTTGCCCTCCCTCTCACCTGCTCACTCCCCCTCTTACGCCTTTTCAACTTTTCGACTTTTCGACTATTTTTCCTATACCCTACTTTGAAATGTTCTTGGAATTCAGAGGTCTTGGCTAGGCCGCCATTTCCAGTCCAACATTGTCACACACGCTCAACTCAATACTCGCTGGACGCCGAAGCTCATTCTAGCACGTGCTACTGGGTAATCCAGTTGCCGCTCGTCAGGCAGAGTCAACGCCGACAACTGGGGACTTTCAGAGCCGCGGAGATGAGTCCTATTTCGATACGTAAAACAAGACAAAAAATTCTCTGTTATCCCTGTTTTCCGGACCATTTCAATTTGATTTACGTACCTGCCACCTTGCTACCGACAACCGCGACAACCGCAACAACCGCAACAACCCTGGAATAGATTTACCAAGTAGAGTGACCGAACCAGTTGCGCGCCATTTTGGCATTTTCACCCAAGAAAGGTCCCTTTGATCAACGTTGTCGGGTCCTTAGAGATGTCCCCCTTTGCGAAGACTCCGCTCGACGCTTTAGTTCGGAATATGTTGTTAGCTGGGCCGATCTACAGGCTCATGTGTGTGAAAGGTTGGCCGCCTTTGTCGTTTGGGTCAAAGGGCTTCCTGCGTTTTGGTTTTTCCTCGCCTTCGTTCGATTTCTAATTGGGGTATCGGAAAGGCCGCTCGGTGAGATCTTGGACGTTGAGATTTGCCGGGCCCATTTAACTTTATATTTAATCTAGCTATCCTACCACTTCTGGGTTATTGATTCATACTCACGAGGACTTCTTGGGTTCAGGCGTAATGGCTCT